TCTTGACTGTTCCTCTGAGATCCTGATTGTTCCTCTGAGGTCTAATGGTCCTCTGAGGTCTTGACTGTTCCTCTGAGATCCTGATTGTTCCTCTGAGGTCTAATGGTTCCTCAGATGTCCTGACTGTCCCTCATAGATCCTGATGGTTCCTCTGAGTTCCTGATGGCTCCTCTGAGATCTGATGGGTCCTCTGAGGTTCTGACCATTCCTCTGAGGTCCTGACTGTTCCTCTGAGGTCCTGATGGCTCCTCTGAGGTCTGATAGGTCCTCTGAGGTCCTGACCGTTCCTCTGAGGTCCTGACTGTTCCTCTGACGTCCTGATGGCTCCTCTGAGGTCTGATGGCTCCTCTGAGGTCTGATGGATCCTCTGAGTTCCTGACCGTTCCTCTGAGGTCCTGACTGTTCCTCTGAGGTCCTGATGGCGCGTCTGAGGTCTAATGAGTCCTCTGAGGTCCCGATGCTCCTCTGATGGTAAAACTATTTCTGTTGTTTGATGAAGAACTAAACGGATGTTTCATCAGTTGGGATTGGAGGACTTCCACTCAGTCAACATCCAGGTGCTCGGAGCTGAAGACACTTATGGGCCCAATGCTTGTTTTAAGGTAAGAACAAAAACCAAAGACTGCATCCTTAGTCCTGGTCTGAGATCTGTTAGACTAGTTCCAGACCCAGCTTCTAATCATAGTCAAGTCATTTTTAATTGGGTTGAGGTCAGAGCTTTGAGTAGTTCATTCAAATGCTTCATGTTAGACCGATTCATCCAAACAAAAACCAGGTCTGAGGATTTATCCAATCAGAAACCAGGTCTGAGGATTTCTCCAACCAGAAACCAGGTCTGAGGATTTCTCCAACCAGAAACCAGGTCTGAGGATTTCTCCAACCAGAAACCAGGTCTGAGGATTTATCCGATCAGAAACCAGGTCTGAGGATTTATCCAATCAGAAACCAGGTCTGAGGATTTATCCAATCAGAAACCAGGTCTGAGGATTTATCCAACCAGAAGCCAGGTCTGAGGATTTATCCAATCAGAAACCAGGTCTGAGGATTTATCCAACCAGAAACCAGGTCTGAGAATTTATCCAATCAGAAACCAGGTCTGAGGATTTATCCAATCAGAAACCAGGTCTGAGGATTTATCCAATCAGAAACCAGGTCTGATGTGGGTTTAGGATCCTGTTGGACCCAACTGTGTCCATATTATGCTTTGAATGTAGTCTACCTCCTTTATTATTTCAGCACCASAGCATGATGCTACCACCACTGTGCKTGACAGCTGGTTCAGTCTCCTCAGGTCTAAAAGCTCCGATCTGCTCAGACTTTGTCTTGTTTGACCATCATTTGTCTCAAAAAGACYTTTGTCTTGTCCACGTGGACAGCTGTAGGTTCTAGGAAAGATTAAAAGCCCAAAATGAGCCAGAGTGGATGGAAAGTTTGGACTGTTAATATTTTTATTTAGGTTTAGTTTAAAATAGTTCAGTTTGTCAGGATCTTCTTTCTTCTTGATCTAAACCTGAATCATTTGTCTGCACTCGGTCCTCTTTTAAAACCAGGAAGGGGTCCAGGTCTGAGTTAAGCCTGTTTAAAGCCTCTGTCAGCCTTTTCTTCTCTATTCGACACAGACCCTCAGAGTTTCCCTCACAGAGTCAGGTCTGTGGGGGTCAGAGTTCAGACACCTGCCTCCTTTCATCAGTGAAGCGAGTGTTTGCTCCACAGTCCTGAGTCCACCTCTGTTTTGTGTTTGCAGGACTCCAGGGAGGTGGTGATCTGGTTGGCGGTCCACCACAAACAGAAGAAAGCTCTGGAGATCTTTGCCAGAGAAGTGGCCCCTGCAGGGACCGGCATGGGTACGACTGAAACCCCGACACTGCAGAAACATGTCGTCAGAGGCTCTCTGTGACACTTGGTGGTTACAGCTGGTTTGGTGGTTGTTTTGGTGTTTCTGCTGGACTTGTACAGTTTAAAGAGGAGTTTCTCTGCCCCTCAGTTCTGCTTCTTATGTAACAGTTMCTGCAGAGTTTAAAAGTGAAAATGTGAACCAAAGTTCATCCAGTCAACAGATCCGTTCCTGCAGCTCTGAATTATGTTGGTTGAATCCTGTTAACGGGATGGATTAATTATGTTTTCAGACTCAAAGTTAAACTCTGTGTTTGTTGAACCGGACTCCTACGGACCCTCCTCCGGCTGCAGATAAACCAGGACCTCCTGAACCGTGTTTGGGTTTCGGTCCAGCTGAACTCTGTGTGACTCAGAACCAACAGTTTCAGTTTGACTTTTGCTTCTCGTACTTTCAGCTCCTGGACTCACCGGCATCGTGGGCGGACGGCCCAAAGTGTGAGTTCATCTTTTTTCACACGAATCTGAGGAAAACATTCAGCTCTTCACTCAGTTTGTGAGGTTTTTATGGGATCAATCTTGTGCCAGCAGGAACTGAATTAGAATTGCTCCGATTGAATCTGAATGTGCAGAATTTGTAATTGAATGCATTGGCTTGAAAACGAATTTTTACTAAATTGAAATTTAATTTAATGTTTTGAATTTGAATTAATTTCCTTTGAAACTGTATTTT